GCACCTTGAAAAAAAATGTTGGTGGCAGTTCCACAAAGCATATCTACTCAACTATGCTTGATATTTTTGTTTCTATTCGGATTTCATTGTTTTTATCTATTTATGTATGAATTTGGCAATTCATAAGTATATGGAGAACTACTAGGATTACTTTTTTTGATACATTCAAGCAAATAGTCAACGATATGCTTTTTTATGTAATATTTACTTGAAAGCAACACTTGAGATAATATTGAAAAATGTTTACTATACTGTAAATTTTATATACCTATTATTTGGGAGTACATGTCACTTAAAATTCAAACTGGGATGTGTGTGAAGGTATACTACAACTATTTAAAACTGTAATGATCATACGCGTGATCAACACGTGATCAGAGCTCGATCCCGGCTTCCTTCCAGTACAGCCGTATAGCATACGACATATGTATGTCGTTTCTGTGGCTTTGCGGTGGTCAACAGCAACAGACAGAGATGGAAATAATGGCTGATTGTTCTCCGCCGGTAGAAACAATGAAATCAAAGACGCGCCTCGACCGGCAGACTCATAGGCGTCGGCAACGCATTGGAACGTGTTTCGTTGAGCGATCGCATATTGTGTGTTTTTATAAGAATTGTTGTGTGATTGTTATTGTTGTGGTTTCTGTCGTTACTGTTTTGGTTATACTTAACCATGGAGAGTACAAATGGCACGAGTAAAGTACTGAAAGCCAGGGAACAAGTAGACGGCTTCGTAAAGCACTGAAGAGGGACGCGAAAGAAATCGTGCTCAACGTGTTCAATTATCTGAACAGAACTGTGTCGCAGGGAGATGCATTCGCGCGTTCTGAAAGTATGACAGGCGTTCCAGAGTGGACCATTCGCAGGCTGGTGCATGAAAAGAAGAAAACTGGAGCTACTACTGATCCAAAGTTTAATTTGAAGGGACGAAAGGCCGTTAAATTGGATGACGATAGCAAAATGGCGTTAAGGCGAACCGTACATTCATTCTTCTTTAGGAATGAGATACCAACCCTCAAGGCTGTACATGCAGCGATCAAGTAAAATGAAATTATACCCCAAATGAGCGTCGAGGTAATGAGGAAATCCCTGCACGAAATTAATTTTCGTTACGAAACGCGTAATCGGAAGTCAGTATTGATAGAGAGACCTGAAATAGTCGCCTGGCGTCGAAAATACCTACGCGAAATGAATAAATGCAGGTCACACAGTTAAAAAAACCTGGATAGACAAAAACGTAGTGAGTAACCGACAAGCAAGCATTGAAGGTTTGTCAACAGGTCTTCGTGGACCGTCAGGGAAAGGTCAAAGATTGATCGTAACTCATATTGGTAGCGATAGTGGCTTTTTAGAAGAGTGTGACTTGATTTTGTCGTCTCTAAGAAAGGAGGTGATTACCATGACGAAATGAATGCCAGCTGCTTTGAGAGCTGGTTTCAAGGGGTGCTTCAGCGAGTTGAGCCCAACTCTGTGATCGTCATGGATAATGCTTCCTACCATAGTCGTCGAGCCGAACGTGTACCGACTATGGGATCTCGAAAAAGTGACATGCAGCAATGGTTGCGCGAAAAAGGAATCCCGTTTGACGATTCATGTGTGAAAGCGGAATAGTATGAAAAAATTAAACAGCACAAACCTGCGAACATTAGTTACGTGACTGATGAGATGGCCCGTCCATGTGGTGTCACTGTGATGCGGTTACCGACCTACCACTGTGAACTGAACCCAATAGAGCTCATCTGGGCTCAAGTGAAGGTTTATATTGCGCGCCATAACACAACCTTCAAATTACCAGACGTTAAGGTTTTACTTGAGACTTCCATACAGCTAGTAACGCCCGAAGCTTGGCAGAATGCTATCCGTCATGTTGTGAAGGAAGAAACAAAAATTTGGCAGCTTGACCACCACATCGACACCATCATAGAGCCAGTTATAGTCAATTTCAACGAGGAAAGCGATAGCGACAGTTTATTACTGTCAGATGTAAGTGGAAGCGACGATGAATAAAGGTAATTCCCAAATTTTTGACTTACAATATGTTTCAAACCACTCTTTATTAAGCATGTGACAAATCTAGTTCACCCATGTTAAACATTCATACCCCGCCTATGAACAGCCGACTACTGGTAGTTAAGTGATGTTCACGTGAACATCGATGAGTCATTACAGTTTTAGATAGTTATAGTATAGCTCCAAAAGCGGGCTCCACAATCCTACCCGCCGCTAGATTACAGCGGACCGAATACATGCTGTCCCGTGACGCACATACGAGGTGAGCGTGGTAATTATATATAATAATAAGAAAGAAGTCTGTCGGGTACGGTGCGCGATACAACCCTGCAATTTAGCAAAAAACATTTTTCGTGAAAACCTACAAAGCACATCGACGCACTTCTGCAGGTACCATATATACAGGGTGGCGCATCGAAAACGAAACAGACGCATTTACTGGCAGCTCATTTTTTTTTTTGGAAAAACGCTCAGAGCCGTCGATTTTGTTTTCGAGGGGGACACAAGTTTGGCAAAAATCACGTTAACATGTGCAGCCCCCCTGGGCGGAGGTGACACCAACCCTAAAATCTTAAATGGAAAGGGGGGTCGAGTGTTACCTTATTTTAAAGTTCTTTCAATTGCCTCTACAATGATGTAATGGTGTGCCACAGGGTTCAATTCTAGGACCATTTTTGTATGCTAACGGTTTGTCCGACTTTATATCTGAAGCTGGTGCTGAATATAAGGTTGTGGCATATGCAGATGACACCAATATCTTGGTTACCAGTCCAAACGTCACCGAGCTGCCGGAAATGGCTGAGAGAGCATACAACAGAATCATTAAATGGTCTGAAAATAACTTCCTCCGGGTAAACACAGAGAAACACCAGCATTATGAAATTCGCATTAAAAGATGAACAAGATTTCAACATTTTTGATCATACTAACAGAGCTATTCCATCATCTAATTCAGTTAACATGCTGGGGATGATACTTGATTGTCGGATGTCGTGGGGATTCCACGTTGAGTGTTCGTGCAATAGATTGCAAAGCAGTTGCTATGGCTTGAAATTCTTAGCAAAGCAGTGCAGTAAACGAATTTTAAAAACTTTATATATGCCACTGTCAACTGTCATATCCGGTATGGTATTCTCAATTGGGGAAGTAGTTCACTAACTGTAAGAGTTCTCCTGCTGCAAAAATATGCCATTAGAATTATTGATAACCTTGGTTGGCGCCAATCCTGTAGAGAATCCTTTAGAACACTAAAGATGTTGACTGTGTCTCGTTTTCGATGCGCCACCCTGTATATAATTACCACGCTCACCTCGTATGCGCGTCACGGGCTTCTATGAATAAGGATACGGCCACGGGGTATCGCAAGCGGACAGCATTTATTAAGTCCGCTGTAATCTAGCGGCGGGTAGGATTGTGGAGCCAGCTTTTGGAGCTACCATCACACGCATCATTATACTGCAGTTAAAGGGAAATAAGCAGAGTGAGACTAACAATAATACCACTTAAAAATTGCCAATAACCAACCAAACCGACAAATTGGCACAGTGCTCGTACTTGATTCTCTACACTACAAGGGTGTCTAAGCCAGATGTGAAATCGGGTTTAAACAAAATGTACACTTTACATAAAAAATAATGCTGGGTTTGACGACACCCGTAGTTCGAGAGTTCTAAAACAAACCTGATTCCAAAAGGTACGTCTTAGTATAGCTCCCACTAAGCTGATTTTTCAACAAAAAAATCTCGAAAACTATAAAACTTTTACTGAAACAAAGTTCAATTCAATTCAATACAATTCAATGGACTTTATTGTATCCTTACAAATGGCGAAGTCTGGCCAATGGCCATTTATACTTAACCATAAATGTCATGTCAATGCTTATTAGTACCGTAAAAATAAATAAAAAACTGAAAAAGAAAAGGAAAAAGAAGAATAATAGTAAAAGAGGAATTAATAAATATGACATAATGCGTACAATTAGAACAAAAAACATAATACGTACGATTCAAAGAGAAGACAATAACCTAAGAGCTCAATAAGTAGTTCTTATATTTTTTTTAGAAAAGTTGCTGATGAGGCATTGTTCGAAAGAGTTGATCAATTTCACCGCATTATACGTAAAAGACCGTTGAAAAATGGCTGTCCTATGTTGTGGCATTGTCAGGAGATTAATGTTGCGCGTATTCAAATTGTGAATTAAATTCCTACGAACCAGCTTTTGCATAAGATAAACCGGAACAGAAGTTTTTAATATTTTTACGACAAATGTAACAAAGTTGTATTTGAAAAGATCAGAAATTTTCAACCAATTCATTGAAGATACTGAGTGAGAAACAAAGTTACCCTTCAATTTTTGCATACCCTCGATACAAATAAAACTCATCCAGTTCCTTCTAAATGATAAAGAAGAACATCAAATAGCAAAGGGCAAAGTAGGAAGTGGCAGTTGGTTCCAATTTCCGTAGGGAATAGAGTTATGTGCGTTTTGGACAGAATGAACTATAGTTCCTATTATTTGTACAACAGGGGCATAGAAAATGATTTGGCGCTAGAAACTCACAAAAATGTAAAAATGCTAATGCATATTGCATAATATGACAAACAGATGAAATCATTCAGTCTATTATAGATCAGACCTGTTGCTTTAAAAATCGATAAAAGAGGCAACGTTGATTGCGAAACATTTCAAATAATTAAGAATGCAAGACGTGAAGTTAATGAGATAACTGTCTGAACAATAAATAGCACATGTTATGTGATGCAACATAACTTAAACATCCACTTAATTATAAAACCTTATAATAAAAGCTTTAGAAAACAATGATTCAACTTTTAAGGCATATTTTAACTAAAACTTGTTCATTTTCATTCATGAAACGTAGCAGTGAGTGAGAATGCGATTCTAGTTGCGGAAATAATTTGATTACAAAAATGTTTACACACCCATTATGTATATTAGCTTATACTATATTTTTTATAAAAAAACTTACTTTTTCCTGTAGCGTGCTCCCCTGACTTTCCCACCCTTGGTACACGTTCGGGCTTCTGCAACAGATCCTCCTCCACCTCAAGAGCTTCCATCTTATCCCCCATTTTGCTTGATAAATAACGAAAACCTTCACTGTTGTGTTCACATCACTACCCGTATTTTTAAATTGGAAAACGGCGCTAAGTGCCTTTTAATTTTTTGAAAGTGGATCTGTTACTCATAACATCGTAGTCGGAAACGTGAGCACGTTGTGTATCTCAGACGAGCGCCAAGGCGGGAATGGCTTTGGAGTGTTGCCACATTTCTTAGAGCTTTTTCCGGGATATCAATATTTTTAATTATCATTTTTAAATCATTTTTAATAAAAGGATTATACTAATTACCAGTTTTAAACGATTTTTGAAAAAAGTATATAAGTATATAAGTATATATATATATATATATATATATATATGTATACACCACTGTTATGTCCTTAAAAAATCGGAAAAGTCCTGGGTTCAATGGTATTAAAAGCGAGCATTTGAAAATTATAGCCGAGGACATAACAGAACCACTCACTTACCTAATCAACAAATGCTTTGAATCTGGCATATATCCCTCAATTTTAAAAAAAGGTAATATAATACCGATACATAAAGGAACAAAAACAGATGTTAACAACTATAGACCAATATCAATAATATCCAGTGTAGCAAAGGTTTTTGAAAAAGTTTTATCTACTAGAATGATTCGATACCTCACAAAATTCAAAATTTTAAATGAAAATCAATATGGATTTACATCGGACGCAATAACTAAAATTGTAAATCAAATACATCAAAATATAGATAACAGAATCCCTTCAATCTGCATTTTTGTTGATTTAAAGAAAGCTTTCGATACAGTTAATCACAAATTATTATTAGAAGCATTGGAGAGAATTGGTTTTAGAGGAAACTCGTACTCACTGATCGAAAATTATTTGTCAAATCGCCCACAATCTGTGCAGATATCAGGATCATTTAGTAAAGAATGTATATTAAGTGTGGTGTCCCTCAAGGAACTGTCTTAGGTCCGCTGTTATTCAATATATATTTAAATGATTTTTCCAAATTAATTGTGTTGGCAAAATAACTAGTTTTGCAGATGAACTGCAATATTATATGAAGGCACTGACTGGTCTGATCTGAAAAATGTAATTGAAAATGATTTTATCAAAATTATTCGGCGGTTTAACAGTAGAAAATTAAGCATTAACTACTCTAAAACACATTTTTTACCATTTGGATCTTATGCTAGACATCTGCCAAATTACACAAATTTCTCCTTCAACATTAATGATCAAAAATGCAAATTAATAGAGTGCCCAACATAAAATACCTTGGAGTGGTCTTGGATCCTCACTTACGATGGGACATCCATGTCAATTTTATTTTAAAGAAAGTTAGATTTGTGTCCTACAAAATTAAATACCTTGGGAATATATTGACAGAAAAATATCTTCGAACATTATACCATGCACTGATTGAGCCTCATCTCACATATGGTATTATAGCTGGGGAGCTGCATGTTCCTCACATCTATATTTAGATGTTTTACAAACAAGTATTCTAAAAATGATATTTAAAAAACCGAAACTTTATCCCACTGAAAAATTAT